AGAAGCAGGAGAAGAATTTTAAGATCGCTTTTTCACTTTCTCAGTGAACCAAATATGTATTTTGAGCAGCTCCGAAGAACCAGTTGAGTGCATCTTACTGGTGCATGAGAATTCCTGGAAAACATTTTACCTGAAGGAGAAACAATGCTTTGTTCTCGTGGTTTAAGAGGACTGAGCTGCAGAGGCCGAGAGCAAGGCAGTAACTGGTGAGAGGCCCTGGCTTTGGATGCTCTTTGGGGAAGCTTGCTAAGAGGTGAAGGGTTCCATATTTGAGGAACAACGTTGCAGGATATCTCTGGATGATGCAGTGGGATCTGATGTGGAAGGAATGAAAATCATTATACACACTTTGTATTTCGTGAATCTTTTATGCCAAGGGTTCTATGTAAAAAGCGGTCTTTCAGGGTGAGTGAAATCTGAAGGAGCAGGAGCAGTGGAGAAGCCCAAAACGGAAGAATTTAGGGCTTGAAAAATGAGAAAAAGTTTACCTTAAGCTGTTCTCTGCAAAACAAATCCTTTTCCCCATTTCCATGATCTGTTGTGTATGCTTCTGTAAAAAGATGGCAAAAACCAGTTTATAGCATGCATGTATTTTGCTATCAGACATCGTATTTGTTGTAAAGCCTTATTATTCCATAATTCTATCATGTGTAGCGTTTCCAACAAGGTTTTCCTCAGATGTTAATTGGGCACTTATCACAATTCCATCAATTTGTTTCCCACATTTTGCACATCTCCTCAAAGTTCTGATTCAGATAACTGAAGACATAGCTGACTTCTATGTTGCAGCAAAGAAACTATATAGGGATTCCTGATGCCTCTAACATCATTGGAAGAGAATATTTCTAGCTGAGGGTTGAACTCTGGGGTCTCTGAGTTTGGTGGTTGATATTATCTAGTTGAGTAATGAAACATCTGCAATGAAACAACCATGCTTAGACACCCCCAAGAACTCTACACCCAACGTCTTCACAAATTGTATTACCAATCCCGTTTGTTCCTTTTACAACAACACAACTATAGGACCAATATTGTGGACTTCTCCCTAGAGAAATTGAGGCAGCAGTTAGACTAAAAGTTGCCATTAATTCCCTAATAAACCCAGAATGATCCATTGATGAATTGGAAAATCCACAAGAAGGAAATTTGTCCAAGGCCTGACAAATCTATTATGAAGGTTTGATACACACGGTCCTGTAGGAGGAAAATTAAATTAATCCACTTAAATATTAATCAGCAGTGTGCTGAAACCACCAAGAGAGCTCACACAGTCTTAGGCTGCAGAAACAGAGGGATAGAATCAAGATCATGTTAAATGTTAGCACCAACTTTATAATGCCTTGGTACGCCCACACTTGCAATATTCTATCCACTTTTGGCCACCGCAATATAAAAAAGATGTTGAGATTCTAGAAAGAGTGCAGAAAAGAGCAACAAAAATGATTAGGGAGACTAAAATATAAGACAATGGTTGCAGGAATTGGGTATATCTAGTCTAATGAAAAGAAGGACTAGAGATGATGTGACAGCAATGTACCAATACTTGAAGGGCTGTCGCAAAGAAGAAGGGGTAATGTATTCTTCACAGCACTTAAAGATAGGACAAGAAACAATAGATGACAAATAGACACACACATTGATTTTTTTTCACCCCTCTTTCTCACCACTATGGTGGTGGTCTCGCTCTTCTTCAATCTCAGATCCTCTGCCAGAGACCTGGTAGTTTGAGGATCCTGTGCAGAATCTTAGCTGATCCTAGCACTTTAGTGTTTTGGACAGAGAGCTTTGACGTTCCTTAGATTATATATACTATTAGATTATAATGTTATATGTTTGTGAGTATATGTATGTCAGTGGTGGGTTTCAAAAATTGTTCGAACCTACTCTGTGGGTGTGGCCTCCTTTGTGGGAGTGGCTTGCCACCCATGTGACCGGATGGGAGTGGCTTGCCGGCCATGTGAC